GGGGGGGGGGGTACATGATAGTATAGTCATGATAACGAACCCTAGGAATAATAATATGGGTAATTGTTTAGGCCCCAATATTACACTGCTATAGTATGACGTCACTATGATATTATGGGGGTACGATTGTAGAAGGGTACTCTTCGGGAAAAGGGACCATGCTGGGTTTTGCATGGCTTTGGGGTTCGGGTCTAGGGTTTAGGGTTTGGGGTTAGGTTGCAAAATTTCTCTCGTGTCTGAGCATGCTTTTTCAAAGCGTGACTGTCCAAACTGGTGCCGTAATAATCAACGTGCACCTGTCTCTAGGCTTTGGCATGGCTACAACAGTGACCTTGTAGATGGCAGGTTTTTGCACGGGGTTTTTTCCAGGATCCACGAAGCCTTGCAGATTTGCAGCCACCTGTCTGCTTCTACATACCCTGTGATTGTGACTTCCCTGCTGCTGCAGGCAAGGGTTTTGTGTTCCCTGAACCATATATCCTAAACCCTACACACTAAACCCTAAACCCTAAACTGTGTTACGTCCAGTCCGGTGTCTAAGTTTGAGGGAGAGAGTTCGGATGGTGAACGAAGGAAGCGCTCAATCCCCCGCGAGAGCCATGTCATCTCAGGGGCCAGGAGGGTGCGATTTAGGGTTTAGGGTTTAGAGATTTAGGGTTTAGGGTTTAGGGATTTAGGGTTTAAGGTTTGGCGGTTCAAGGGGTTTAGGGGTTTAGGATTTCCGAACCCAGGAGACTGGCAGCCAAGATTCCTCGTAGCATCTCGAGGTCGTTCTTCACCTGTGCACACGCCAGACCCGGGCCAACAATTGAAGGGCCATAATATTTAGAATAGGGTTTTGAGGTATATCATACTATAATCCTAATAAGGAACCCCCAAAATAGTGTTGGTAATTATTTGGGCTAGTATATTAGCCTTTCCCAACGTAGCCCCTCCCAGTACCAGGTGCTGTAGTTGAAGCCTGCTATGGGCTGTCTGGCATGCCTTTTCAAAGTCTTCGCCATCTCAACAGTCATCATGTTCGTTTGCCTTCAAACTTCAGATGCGACGGTAGCTTATGGCGCCTCGGCCTTAAAGACACGCAACCCGAAGAGCCGGTATCTCCCTGTCTAGTAGTTAAAGGGAATCTTGCCTGCGCGAGCTCCGCCTCCCGGCGAGAAAGCCTTGGGCGGAAAGCTACCTCCACTGGGTAAGTCATGGTCCCTTTAGGGGAACCCCATGTAGTTCTAGTCTTGCTACGGCACCCTATAGTCTGGGAAACCCAAGGAGGCCCTAGTTTGGACCCTCACATGACGACTTGATAACGGTGCCAAGGGCTTCTCAAGCTTAACTAGGGTATAATAAGAGTTACCAAAGTTCGGGTCCGGTTTGCAGTTCAGGGTCTGTACTCCCAAATGGAATATCGTTTGGGTAATACTGGAATTATGGTAGGTCTATGACTATAGGGACAAGGGTACACGATTGCCAATTTGCATGTAGACCTTATTGTTCGGGTTTTGTAATCCGACGCGGCCGAGCCACTTGTCCTGGAGAAGCTCGCACTTCTCCTGGGGCCACCGTTCCGTCATCTCAAGGCACCCGTCTGCATCTTCAGCCGTTTTAGGATTTCGGGTTTTTGAGCTTTCATCTCGCCGCGAGCCGCTGTTGTCCTTTAGATCTCCTCCTCTCTGTCCAAAATGTGGTCCGCATTCAATCACGGCACCTGCCACTCACCGCCATTTGCCGGAGGCGGGCCGCTGCCGTTGACCAGCTGCTTCTGCCTGGCGGAATGAAACTCGAGGCCCCCATATCCCCTTAAGCTAACAGTAGTTGTTCGGAACTGGTTCCAAGAGTATGAACCGCCACGTATAGCTTGACTACCCGCTCCGGAAGCTGACATGTACCATCAAGTAGTGTAAGGCATGGTTACACAAGCCTTCGATGAGGCAAGGACGTAAACAAATGGGTAAATCAAAAAGTCGCGTACTTGTACTGCATCCGCTATGAAAGCGTTTACAAGATGTGGTACCTGAGTGTACATGACTAGTGCTGTATCTAGCAGTTTACTGGATGAAGTCGTATGCCAGTTCTTGCTATGCGCGAATACACAATATTGTGCACTCATATATACTATGCTGGCGAAGGTATGCTTGAGCCTAAAGCATGTTGCCATATCCGGCCACCGACGAGTATACATTGCTAAAATTCGCCTGTATGCTATGTGTTGCTACGTGCGACCACATCTGTTCGTAGTATAGCAAAGAGCTTTTCGTATCTGTCTACGTTGATTTGCCGCAATGTGCTAGCTGCTAGCAATATTCGCACGCAAAACGGGTGCGGCTGGTTGTGTTTGTTGTTGCTACTGCTCTTGCTGTTGGTGTTGCTGCTGTTGTTGTTGCTGTGGTTGTTGTTGTTGTTGCCGTTGCAGTTGCTGTTGTTGCTGTTTTTGTCGTTGCTATTGTTGTTGATATTGTTGTCGTTGCTATTGTTGTTGATGTTGTCGTGTTTGCTGTTGTGTTTGTTGTTGATGTTGCTGCTGCTGTTGCTGTGACTGTGACTGTGACTGTGGCTGTTGCTGTTGCTGTTGTGGTTGTGGTTGTGGTTGTGGTTGTGGTTGTGGTTGTGGTTGTGGTTGTGGTTGTGTTGGCTTTTGCTTTTGCTTTTGCTGTTGC